CTCAAACTTCCTATGACATAGGCTATGTATCTCTGCTATATAAATATCTACTGTTCTACAAGAGGAATTTTTAATATCTTTAAAAACACACACAAAATGTGGGTACTTCAAATGTATCCATTTCCCATTTAAGTAGAAATAATTTTTATGACATCAAATGTTGCACAAAAGATCTTATATGGGTTTGGATTAAAATGTTCAACTCAACACTACTTAAAACGAGCTGTTAGCGGAAAATCTAAGACGATTTTTGGATTCAGATCCCGAAGTAACATTAGGAACAGGCATGAATCTAAAGGCCACTACGAAAAAAAGTTTTAGTTTTTTTTTTTAATTTTTGTTTTGTTTTGTGGACTTTGAATTATTTGTGTATTGGTTTCAGTTTAATTAGCATTCCTACCATCAAAAGACAAGCAAACAATTGAGTATTTCTTAGCTATTTAACATATTCAAGACTCAATACCCGCAATGTCACCTTATGCTTTGCTGGCCAGCTATGTCACATACATACATTTGCAGCCAAGAGCTCATTTTCGAGGATAGGGATTATGAGATTTAGATGAACTGGGAGGGTTAAGTTATTTTGGTCGATAGAACAATTCATTTAAAAACACAAAACAGGACCATTTATTTGAAGGAAAAAAAATGAGATACTTAAATAAATTAGACAAATTGGTTTTATTTTTTAAAGAACTTTTTAAAGAAACGTTAGTTTCACTAAATGATAATATCAAATTAAATGACTTCTGCCTGGTGTTATTATTCCTTGAGATTAAAACAACAGGCTGTTAGCAATGAGTTGTTTTGTTGTTGTTTTTTTTTGTTTTTTTTTTAAATCAGCGGATTGTTTGTTATTTGTGATTTATTATTTCTAAACTGTTACAGAAAGACTTAAATGTACATGTAAATATCGTTCATGTTTTAAGTCATCAGATCACCTGATTAAATCCTTCCTATATTGGTGTTCATATCATTTACGAAGACACTGTAGGGAAGAGAAATAACCGTAATTCCCGAACATTTAGTGAGAATCAGACAAATTTGAAAACTAAGTTTTTCGTATCAAGCGTTAGTAAAATAAATGGAATATCGAGCGATGGAGTTGGAGCTAAAAAATTTTTTTTTATAAAACATGAATACAAGTAACGCACTTTATAAACATTCCAATTAGTGGGTTTTTTTCACGTCCCTGCAAGGGCCTCGTTTTGTTTATCTTCTGCCTTTTTTACGCCTTCGTACACTGCTGTTCGCCAGCTGCAACGTTGTTCGGCAATGAACTCCCATTCGTTGTTTTCAATATTGGCTTCCGTCATGCTCGTTTTGCAAACGTCCATAAATCTCAGGCGTGACAGTCCAGCAAGTCTTGTCCCATCTGCCCACTCTCCATACAGCAGCATCTTTGGGATACGGCCTTCCTCCATTCTCCTTACGTGGCCTAAACCGGCGAAGGCGCCTCTAGCTAAGAAAGGAGGATATGCTAAACATTTGTGCTCGTTCCAAGACCTCCGCGTTAGGCATCTTGTCGTGCCATTGAATGCGTAATATGCGACGCAGACATCTTTGGTGAAAGCTGTTGAGCTTCTGCTCCTGATTGGTATATGTGGTCCACACTTCGCTACCTTATAGGAGCGTACTAAGCACACAGTCCTGATAGACACTTATTTTTATTTTATCAGATTGAGATTATTCCACAACCGCCCATTCAGTTTAGCCATAGTTGCTGTCATGCTGCTTCTGATATTTATCTCTTCATCGAGGGAGAGAGAACTATAAATATTGGATCCAAGGTATGTGAAATGCTCAACAACCGAAAGATTATGACCCTCAATAGATATGATTGGAAGGGACGGTGCTTCTTGCATCATTACATGTGTTTTCTGTACATTAATCGAAATTCCAAACTCTTTAAAAGCGTGTGATAGACGGTTAACCAACCCCTGAAGACCTTACCTTCTTCTGTGTGAGAGGATAAGGCGGCATCGTCAGCGAACAGCAGTTCCCGGATCAGCACCATTTTTACTTTGGTCTTTGCACGAAGGCGAGCGATATTGAACAACCTACCATCAGATCTGTTATGGACGTGCACTCCATCTTAACAGTACCTGAAGGCAAATTGGAGGAGAATCGAGAAGAAAATGGAGAAGAGCGTTGGTGCCAGTACACAACCCTGTTTTACTCCGCTGCTGACTGGGAATGACTCAGAGACAGCGCCATTGAAAGATATCGTGCTGCACATGTTATTGTGAAATGACTGTATGATTGTGAGCAGTCGTGGGGGACAACCTATTCTTTGAAAGATACTGAAAAGGCCTCTCCGACTTACCAAGGCAAATGTCTTTGTCAGGTCTATGAAAGCAATATAAAGTGGCATATGCTGTTCACGACATTTCTCCTGTATTTGGCGTAACGAGAATATCATGTCTATTGTTGAGCGCCCACTCCGGAAGCGACACTGGGACTCTGGGTAGATACGGTTCGCCAGACTCTGCATTCGTTTAAGGGCAACACGGGCAAAAGTCTTTCCAACTAAGCTAAGGAGTGAAATACCTCGGTAACTATTGCAATCACTTCGGTCCCCTTTATTTTTTTACAATGTTCCGATGTTGGCGTCTCTCGTGTCCTGTGGAATGTAACCTGTTTCCCAACACAGACAGAGGAGCTCATGTAAGGACTGAAGTAGAGTAGGTTTTCCTTTTTTGAGGACTTCCGATGGAATGCCGTCAATCCCCGGTGCCTTCCCATCAGCAAGGCAATCAATCGAGCTCCTGTAAAGTTGGCTTTTCATCCAGTTCTTCCATTACCGACAGACGGGAATATTATTCAGAGCGGTCTCAGTGACTACATTCATTGTTGAGTATAGTTCAAGATAATGCTCTACCCAACGCTGGAGTTGATCATTTGGGCTCTGGGTAATTTGACCCGTCTTGGACTATATTAACATTTTAATTCACACCGCAGATTTATTTCACCAACAATTTTAGAAAAACAAATACAAATATTACGCACCAAACGCACTTTCAATATTTAAAAAGAAAAAAAAAAAAGAATCTCATTTAGCGCAGTTATCGGGAATTTCATTTTATAACCCCTGGAAAAACAGGGAAAACTTATTTTTGAGGTTTGGGGCTGATACTTTGAAAGAATGTGTTGAAATCTGCAACGAGTCTATATGCCGATTTTCAGCTCGATATGTAGACGGGAAACGGTTCAAATAGAGCAGTCCGAAGATTTTGCCAGTCCACCACTCAGCCAACTAGCCAGCCCACGAACAAATGGGAAGTTAATATAAAGTATTTAATAATAATAACAAATTCCACCAATGATGCGCATGCAATCCCGGATTTTTCCAGTCCATGAACTGCTGCGCATTATTGAGCCAACAAGATAACTCCCAACATGGTGTTGAAAGCTTAAACTTTACCTCTTGTAAATCAGCACTTACGCTGGAGGAACATTGGAAGGAAGAACAGGACGTCTGTAATTCGTAATACTTTCCTTATTGTATGTCATACTTTATGTTACATACGGTCGGTCAGTGTTATAATCTTCTAGTTGTTGGTAGTCTGATTTTTAGTTTGTTAATTTTTATTTTAAAAAATAAATAGTGGAACACGATGCGTAGGTTTGAAAATGAAACAAAAGCAAAAATAAAAATTTTAGTATTAATACTTTATATGCATTTTTAATTATTTTATTTTATATTAATATTCTAATGTCCCACCCAATGTTACATAGTTGATATATTTTAACAAGTAGGCCTATTTCACAATTTTACACAGTTGATATATTTTAACAAGTAGGCCTATTTCACAATTTTACACAGTTGATATATTTTAACAAGTAGGCCTATTTCACAATTTTACACAGTTGATATATTTCAAAAAGTAGGCCTATTTCACAATTTTACACAGTTGATATATTTCAACAAGTAGGCCTATTTCACAATTTTACACAGTTGATATATTTTAACAAGTAGGCCTATTTCACAATTTTACACAGTTGATATATTTCAGCCTATTTCATAAAAAAAAAAACAAGGATAATTTTAAGCAGTAAACGCAATTGCGATATTTTTTGTTCAAGAATCTCACTGAGCGCTGTTCTCGGGGATCGTATTTCGCGAAATCAATGACATCATATCTCCTTCATCTTCCCTTGAAAAACAGGAAACACTGATTTTTTGGGGTTTGGTCTGAAGATTTGAAAGAATGTGTTGTCATCGGCAACGAGTGTTTGTGCCAAGTTTCAGCTCGATATGTTGACGGGAAGTAGGTAAATTAGCAGTCCGAAGATTTTGTCAGCCACAAACAAAAGTTAAGTTAATATAAAGGATTTTAAAAAAAAAACATCGACTCATTGATTTTTTGTTGTTGTTGTTTTTGGTCACTTCTTTCTTAAATATATTATTAAAATGAATGCTTTATCTTAGGACCTTCAAGTAAATCCCTACAAGACACGTAGCAAGTGAGGAAGCAAAGAGCTTGATGATTATAAAAACAAGTAGTATACTACTGTGCTAAATGCCAAAACCACAGATTATCTCCAGCCTACTCGACAAACTCACCAGTCACCAACCATCTCTAGAGGGAACTACGCCAGCAAAGCTATGCAGCAGCACACCCGCGCTTCAGTGAGACATTCAGCAGCACACCCGCTTCAGTGAGACATTCAGCAGCTACACCCGCTTCGGTGAGACATTCAGCAGCTACACCCGCTTCAGTGAGACATTCAACAGCTACACCCGCTTCGGTGAGACATTCAGCAGCTACACCCGCTTCAGTGAGACATTCAGCAGCTACACCCGCTTCAGTGAGACATTCAGCAGCTACACCCGCTTCGGTGAGACATTCGGCAGCTACACCTGCTTCAGTGAGACATTCAGCAGCTACACCCGCTTCGGTGAGACATTCAGAGTTGACACGTTTTCAACACGGACGCTGACGACCGCGCTCGTGAAGATGTCGTCCCTATGGTGTTGTTCACTTAAACCCCAGGAGCTTTCTCTCACGACCAGGGAAAAGAAGATCATCCGCAAAGTCTGGGACGATTTGAAAGCGAACGACGACATCGAACACGTCGGCGTGGATGCGTTCATGCGAGTTTTCAAGAATGTCCCGCAAACGCTGGATTTCTTCATGAAGTTCAAGTACCACACGCTCGACAAGCTGGCCACCAGCGACACGCTGAAGGAGCACGCGGCTAGCGTGACGAGCTTTATAGAACTCGCCATAGACAATATGGATGATGCCGTGACGTTTTCTAAAATATTAAGGGAGGAGGGTAAGAACCACCTCAAACGCCAAATACCGGAAATTTTCATGGAGGAAGTGACGTTAAGTTTCCGTCAAGCCATAGAGAAAAATTATACTTTACATTGGAAATTATCACATTCAGTGGCTTGGCGGAAATTTTTTGAAATTTTTTTGCTTCATTTTTTAGATAAAAGTATTACGCCCTAGCCTTAATTTTACACATTTCTCAAAACATTTTTGTACACAATTTCTTGAGAAAAAAATAGTCTTTTGTTTTGGTAAATTATGTAACATTGTCACCATGAAAGCTTTTATGGTAATTTAACGTAAACTTAGACAGGAGAACGCTCGAAGCCTGCAGCTCGATCAATTCCATCACACGTCACGGGGGGGGGGGGCGTAGGGATTCGTCGTAGGGAAAGCCAAAAGTCGTGCTGGCGACACTGAATTCTTGCGAATGAGAATCCACATCAGTGAAGCGCGAAGAGAATTCATTCCAGAGGGTTGACAGCACACTGATGCATTCTACAGGACACTCATGCATTCTACAACACATTGTTGCATTTTACAGCATACTGATGCATTCTACAGCACACTGATGCATTCTACAGCACAATGTTGCACTCTACAGCACACTGATGCACTCTACAGCACATTGATGCATTCTACAGCACACTGATGCATTCTACAGCACACTGATGCATTCTACAGCACAATGATTCATTCTACAGCACAATGATTCATTCTACAGCACAATGATGCATTCTAATTCTACAGCACACTGATGCATTCTACAGCACATTGATGCATTCTCCAGCACACTGATGCATTCTCCAGCACACTGATCCATTCTACAGCACAATGATTCATTCTACAGCACAATGATTCATTCTACAGCACAATGATGCATTCTAATTCTACAGCACACTGATGCATTCTACAGCACATTGATGCATTCTACAGCACACTGATGTATTCTACAGCACAATGATGCATTCTCCAGCACACTGATGCATTCTACAGCACACTGATGTATTCTACAGCACAATGATGCATTCTCCAGCACACTGATGCATTCTACAGCACACTGATCCATTCTACAGCACACTGATGCATTCTACAGCACACTGATGCATTCTACAGCACATTGATGCATTCTCCAGCACACTGATGCATTCTACAGCACACTGATCCATTCTACAGCACACTGATGCATTCTACAGCACATTGATGCATTCTCCAGCACACTGATGCATTCTACAGCACACTGATGTATTCTACAGCACAATGATGCATTCTACAGCACATTGATGCATTCTCCAGCACACTGATGCATTCTACAGCACACTGATCCATTCTACAGCAGACTGTTGCATTCTACAGCAGACTGATGCATTCTACAGCACACTGATGCACTCTACAGCACACTGATGCATTCTTCGGTTTCAGCATCGCACGGGCATCGTGAGGAACATGAACGTAGGCGCCTTATACAGTTGTTTCTCCCACCGAATCAGCTTTGCTTTCAAATACCGGAAAGTGGGCTTCCATGTTCGTAACGAGCACGCAACGTCCTTACCGCGCCAGGTCAAGTTCGTTAAGGCGAAAGCTGATTTCAGTGAGTGAGCTGCAGTGATAGTAGCGATAGAACTGATAGAACTGACTGATAGACGGATTGCAGTGATAGAGCCAATTCTCGTCAGAGAACTTTTGAAAGCTCTCGAGGCTCCTCTCACTAACGAAGGAAACAATTTTGTGTTGAGTGGTCTATTCTATTGTTAGGTTTGTTGACTGTGCTATTGTTAGATTTGTTCGCTGTTCTTTTGTTTAGATTGCTTTCCAACTTTAAAAAAAAAAATTGTTTTTCGCTTATTATTAGTATTAGTTAAGAAACATTGAGTAGAAATTGTGATCGATAAAATTGTTTTTGTTTTTTTTTTAATTACGATTTTTAAAATTCTAGAAAGCAACTCTGAAATGTAGCATTGTGTGGCGTAACACTCTGAAATGTAACACTCTGGAATGTAAAGCTCTGTTTAACCTGTGAATCAGCTATAAACAAGGAAACTATTGAAACTTAAACTTTAAAATGTAGCGTAAAATTCTTTTTAAAAGATAACAGATACGTCATAAACTAATCACCTGTAAGTGCTGGCTGGCGACCGTACTGATTTTTTAAAAACAATACAATGAAGTTTGATAAAAATGTCTGCTAGAGCTTTTATTTAATGAGTCACTTATGTACGTCACTATTTTTCACGGCTGCCCTAAATCATAAAAAGAAAAACCAAAGCAAAACAGCTCCCCCAACACGTGACGTTGTATATCTACTCACCCCGCCCCCCAACCCCACCCCATGGGCGCACCCCAGCCCACCCCATGGGCGCACCCCACCCCACCCCATGGGCGCACCCCACCCCACCCCATGGGCGCACCCCACCCCACCCCATGGGCGCACCCCACCCCACCCCACTCCATGGGCGCACCCCACCCCACCCCATGGGCGCACGCCAATAGAAAAAACCCCAACGTTACATTTTTGTGTTACTGAAAACACGCCCCTCTGTTACGGGTGAATCTTCTTCTAAGATAGAACGTTCTTTCAACAACACCATTACACCATTACACCATTACACCCCTCTCTTCCACACACACACACACGTACACTCTGTGTGGCACTGGGTGTTATTCTGACGACCAGAATTATGCAACCATTACATTGATATAAACACTCATCGAATGAGTTGATCAACTCTTCATCCTACAAAGAAGCACGACAATGAAACCCGACATTAACAATAACGTAGATGTGCACACACAATCCACCCGTTAACGGAGTGGAAAGAAAGCTGTGAGACTTGCATGAGAAATGACGCCACCAAGGTTGACAGTTGGGTCGACACGCCTGTTTGACTACCCTGTTTACCTGGCCATTATTCACGTCCTAAAGATTGCTGTTTACTTGGTCTTCAATCGACACCTTTCCCCACCCCCCACCCCACCCACCTCGGCTGTCTCTGGCAAAGAGAACGAAACAAGTCAAATCGAGTTCTGTCCACAGAGACAACAGCGGCGCCTAGCACGAAACCACACCTAAATGGCAGTCAATTAATTATTAAGCAGCTGTAGTATATATATGTATGAAATTTTTTGATGCGTCGAATTTTATTTCAGAGAGCTATCAACATATGCTTTATTGGTCAAGTCCCTATAAGCCTCTTTTAAATAAACGGTCTTATTTTGTGGAGTTTGGGATTTAAAACTGATATTATTTTGTCCGATATTACCTTTTTTTTTTTTTTTTTTTTTTTTTTTTTAAAAAGACCATTTTTGACTTTTCCTTTTTTTATTTTTGTTTGTTTTTTT